TTATTATTATTATTATTATTATTATTATTAGAGCAACGAGTTTACATTTATACGTATTTAATTTCACCGTCTGCAACGATATTACTCTCTGTAGTGTGTACGTTGTAATTTGTCCGAAGGTTTCACCTTGGACCGGTGAACAGATGAACGTGGGTGAACGTTTCGCGAACCTGCGATTATCCTCCACGATAGAACGATAAATTCGAAATTGAAAGAATTTGGAAAGGGAGGAAATTTTGAAATTTCGAAAAAATCCTCTGCGCGAAGAGAGAAAGATAGAGGGAGAGAGAGAGAGAGAGAGAGAGAGAGAGAGAGAAACGAAACTTTCAAACGGTCTTGTCGCCGATAATTTCACGCAACGACCGATTTTCCCGATACCTGAGAGACCGTGATTCGACGTGAAACGTAACGTGGAATGAGAAGGAAGGAGGTTTCGCGAGGGATTATTAGTAGGCTGGAGCTTCGGGACGTAATTTGCCAAGGGCAAGTCGAAGAAAGTATCACCGTTGAATGGAAGCAGTGGCCAAGGGGGACCAAGAGGGGTGGGGGCAGAAGCCGCGACAAGGTGGGAGAGGGAGAGATGGAGGCGAAGGAGGGAAGAGGAAGAAAGAGGGGGGGTGGGGCATAAGTTATCTTTCGCAAAAAAAGAAAAGAAAAGAAAAGAAAAAAAGAACGAACGGAAAGAGCTTTGCCTTGGATTACTTTTTCGTAGAGCCCCACGTCCAATTTCATCTCACCGTTTTTTTGTAGGTGACCACCACCTCCGACCTGCTGTTCAAGGGTTCGTCGTGGACGTCACGCCGCTTATAAAAGCAGAGGATCTTCTTGGCATCTCGTCAGTTGCAAAACAACGACGAGCCAACTCCAATAGCGCAGCACGCCATGAACGCCAAGGTGAGCGATCGGTCGTCCGCCGAGGAATAGGATCGGGTTCGGTACCAAAAGCTTCGAGAGCGCCGTAAGCTTTTACAGCCGGTCGAAAGATACAAAATTATCGAAATTCCGCGCACCGAACGGAGATCATTTTCCCGAGATCATGTCTGTAATGTGGAAACGAGTTATTTTTTCTTCGTTGTGTTTTACCGTTTGTAGTTGTCGAGTCCGATGGATTTGGAAAAGTCAATCGAGCCACGATTGGAACAAAGTCCTAGTGTGCTAGTTCAGTCGTCTGTGCTTTATTATTCTCTTTACTTGAAAGTTGGTTGTTTGATTTTTTTCTCAGTTTTTCGTCGTATTCGCCTTGGTGGCGGCAGCCTTGGCCGAAGATCAAGCTGCAGGGGACACGAAGAAGGGCAAACGAGGTATCTACGGATTGGGATACGGCGGTGGTTACGCTGGTTACAATGGTTACGCTGGTTATAATGGTTACGCTGGTTACAATTTGCCCATCAGCCACGGAGTTTCCGTGATAACGAAGGAAGTGGCAGTTCCAGTGGCACATCCAGTGCCTGTTGCTGTCGAGAAGCACGTTCCTGTCCCGGTTAAGGTAGAGATTTCCCTTTCTTCGCGTTGATCCGTTGCGGCGATCGGCTACATATATCGTATAGCCGAATCGAAAGTACAGCAAGACGAATAATCGATAGAATCTCATTGGTAATGTAACAATGTTTCCCATATAGATAGACAGGGAGGGAAATCGAGAGTGGCGCGATCGAAGCAACCTAAATCTGATGCGCGTTCGTGTTGAAATCGTGCGAAGGCTCGGGGACCTCGAGGACCTCGAGGACCTCGAGGACTCGGAGCTTGGAATCACGCTCTGTTTGTCACGGAATATCCGCTCGCGTGATTGGCAGTGAGCGCGCCTTCATCGTCGGACGTTAATTAACGTTTCAATGTAAACGAGCGCTGGGATTTCGCAAGCCAAGAAACGCGTTGCAAATTCCGCGCTGTTGGCTTTCTCGGAGAACCGATTGCGAACCACCGACCACGCAACGGCTCGATTTTACTCGTGCGTCCCCTCGTTACGTTGCCTATTTCCGCCGATCAAGCGTACGTACAGATGAACGCGACGCGACCGATCCAGATTTTCGATTTTTACATCGAGATTGCGCGCGTTCGTACAAATTTATCGTATCCAGCGAGTTCCCCATCCCTCGTACGACGAAAGACGATGAAAGCAGCCTGTTCTATTGTTCCAGGTACCAGTGGCCGTGCCGGTCGATCGTCCATACGCCGTCCACGTTCCGAAGCCGTATCCAGTCGAAGTGACCAAGCACGTTGCAGTGCCGGTCGACAGGCCAGTCCCTGTTCCAGTCGGCGTTCCAGTCAAGGTTCCGGTGCCAGCTCCGTACGCCGTCAAGATATCTCAACCGTACGCTGTTCCGGTCGTGAAGCAGATTTCAGTGCCGGTCGTGCAACCTGCGGTGGTCGTTGAGAAGTACAACAGCGGCTGGCAAAGCGGTTATCCCTCTGGCTACTCTTCCTGGTAAACTCTCCTGGTTCTTCTCGCCGATTCGTCGCCTACAGCTAACTTCCATCGCCGTTCCAACGATTCCAACATATTCCAACAACGACGC